AGTGCTCTATAGTTGTGCCTGTCGTCTGCTGACAACTGTCCAAGTATTTTCAGTGGTTGTCCCCTCAAGCTCGTTGCCAGCTATACCGCTTTCTGCTCCTCTGTCATCCATTCATTTCTGCCAGGAGCTCAAATTGTGCTCTATGTGCTTCCCATCGAATTCCTGTGGCTTCCTTCGTACTAGATCACCCCTATTGCTGACACTCATGTCTGGAATCTGACTTCTGGCAGGACTGAAGATGTCTACATTAGGGTTTAGCTGCAGGGTCTGGAAGGGGCTTCCTGTTGTCTGGGCCTGATTAAGTCCATGGCTAATATATCCTCCCTTTGTAAAAGACAGTAAATCGTTTTTTAATGTATTTGATTCACTTTGAAATTTACTCAGCTTTTCCATTTGTACTTCATGCTGATGTTGTACTCTGTCTCCTTGTTCTTCTTGCTACAGTTGCTGACTTTCCTGTAACTGTTGGAAACTTTCTTTCTGTTTCCTTTCTTGTTCCAGTTGCCACTGGTGCTGGTTTTCTTGCCACTGCTGTAGTCTCTCTTCTTGTTTATTTACTTTCTCCTCCAACCACTGCTGTAGTCTCTCTTTTTATTTATTTTCTTTCTCCTCCAACCACTGCTGTGGCCTCTCTTCTTGATTATTTTCTTTCTCCTCCAACCACTGCTGTAGCCCCTCTTCTTCTTTCTTTTCTCGATCTTTTGCTGTTCTTGTATTGCTGCCATCAAATCTGCTAAATCGTAGTTTGATTTGCCACTTCTCGTTTCCATCTTTTTTCTTTTCCATCCAGCTCTTTGACACCAATTTGTTATGTATCTGCTTGTTTGTTTGTTTCCGTAGAAATTCTCTCCGAGGATCTTCAGTGATACAAGCCTTTTCTCGATTAAACCAGTTTATTCTTCTTCAATACAACTTTTAGTACACAGAAGTTCCACAATCTCGTCACTTTAACTTAACAACTTTTATAATACACGCTATAAATCACAGCGATTCACAATCTCGATAATTTCGCTCTCGACGAGTGCAAAACACACACTTTACCAGCTCACTAGCTCGGAACTAACAGAATCATAAATTACATGGAACTCAAAGTAACTACTGCTCTCTCTTCATTCATTTCTGCTGGCTTTCTCTGCCAGGCTTATATACTAAAAACATACACTTACTTGTACGTTGTACTCTAGGACTTGTATTTGATCTACAGATGAATGATGGAATAGTGTAATTTATTTCTGTACGTCAACTCGGTCTCACTGAATTTCAGTGGGCGGCTTTTAAAAGTTAAAACTGCAAGCATAATACACACAGATAACGTAACAGTGTGTCATATTTACTTAACGTAGGGTAGTTGTGCTATATCCTAGAGGAGGGCATAATTATTAATTAATAGGCATTATAGACCAGAGGAAATTTTGTGTCCCTTCACACCTGTGCCCGGGTAGGACTGCCACCCTCTTGCTATGCCATTGACTTACATCAGTGACATTATGAAGGAATGGTCAATAAATTATTCTGATCTGCTGATTGGCTATTGCTAATGGCAGGACAAATATGATTTTAGATTGTATCTACAGAAATACTGAATACAAGTCTACAGAGGTTAAAATGTCATTAACTGTAGGTCATTCATTAAGCCACATTTGCAGTACTGTGTTCAGTTTTGGGCTCCTTACCTAAAAAAGGACATTGAACTGTTGGAAAGGGTTCAGAGGAAAAATACTAGGATGATACCTGGGATGAAAATGTTGTAATATGAAGATAATTTAAGACCTCTGAAATTGTTTTCTCTTGAAAAAAAAGAAGAGTTAGAGAGGATCTGGCTGAGGTAGTTAAGAATGTTGATGCATCATCTTTTTTTCGTATTTAATGGTTAGAATGGTAAGACTAGAAGGCATAATTATAAATTTTGGCAAGGTAGAAGTCATCTTTAGTTAAGACAACTTTATTTTTTAACAGTGTAGTTGGCCTTTGGAACGGATTGCCTTCAGATTTGATAGATGCAGTTAACTTTAGAGTTTAAGGGAAGCCTTAATAAATGATTGAATGATAAAGACTGATTTTTATTGTTTTTTAGTTTCATATAGTGGATAAGATGGCCTAGATGGGACAACAGGTCCCTTGATGTCTTTAAATTATATGTGTGTGTGTAGAATAATGTTTAATGTCAAACTGCATGACTTTAGCCAGTTGGTAATCTTTATAATAATGTTTCATTTTAAACTGCATGAATATCTCAGGTTATGCTGTATTGGTTTGGCTAGCTGTTCTTTTCTATAATAATGTTTCAGGTCAAATTTCTTGACTCTGTCTTGCTGTTACTCTTTATAATATTACTTTAAGTTAAACTTTAGAATGCAATCTAGATTTTTACTTATAATCAAAGGCCTTCAGCATATAGTGCTTTAAGAACTGGCTGCTATTTTCAGTCATCACTCATGAGATTTCATGGTATGACTAAGGAGTTTCTACCTTAAAACATAAAATCCAGATCACATTTTGAAGAATTCAAATTATATGTGAAAGCGCATGACTACTTAGCTACTATTTTAAAATACATGTTAGTTAAACAACATTGCTTTGGACACTTTTTTGTTGTGGATCTTGCAAATTGCAAATAAACGAGATAAAATAATTTATAACATACCATTTCATGATCTCCCTTGTCTTTGGCATCTGATTCTTGTTGAAGTGAACACTGACTGGAGGATTTAGATGTCCTTTTTTCTAGCTGAGTTCTTCTGAGTCTAGCTTTTGAATTCGTTCTACAACATATTTCACAGATCCAGCTTCCTGCTGGATTTCGGAAAGTACAATGTTCACACTTCCATTGTCGATTTGGAATCCATGAATTATCCTTCTGAGATATGTCTTGATATGATGAAGCATTTGAAGCTGATTCTAAAAATAAAAATTCAAAAATATGATGTTGAAAAATATAATTGTCATCACTACTAAAAGTAAGAGATGTATAAAGACATACATATTGTAGCATGAACTAATTCATTTCTGAATGTTGCTTACCATGTAATTAACACAAACTATTTGACATATCTCACATAAGTACAATCATACTGTTTAATGCTACTCAAACACTTTTTCAAACACAGTTCACAGTTCTAAACTATTTGGGAATTGAAAAAACGTATGCTAAAAGTGTTATTTAAAATTTCAAAAATCTTGGTTTTTAATACTAGATTCAAGCAATAACAATTAAACTTACTGGAACCATCAGTTTCTTGATTTCTTATAAAATCTTCTTCACTACTTGTTTCACACTCAATTCGTTTTGATTTAAAACGATGTTCTTTACCAAGTCTCTTAGTACTAAGTCTCAGTGATGTTTCACTACTTCCACCAAGGCTTCGCCGCTTATGTCGACTTCCATGATGGGTGTAACGTGTTGAAAGAGAAGGAGAAGCTGGAACAGACATGTGCTGTCGTTGTTCATGAAATGGCTCCATATTATCTTCTTGTAGGAACCGTCCAACAGAGAAATAGGATCCTATTTAGATCAAAGTAAGATAAAATATGCCTTACACAGCTGCAAGACAAATAGTTACATGGTTATAACTAATATATTTGTTACAGTGTATTTCTGTTTCAAAGTAAAATATGAAATATTCAATGAGTTGTGAGAGATTTAACTTATGTTCAGTTTAATTTTTCCTTCTTGGAAATTGTTATTTAGAAATCGACCTACACTAGTTTAATGATTTAACAAATAAATGTACATTAATATCAGATACAACTGTGAGAAACTTTGGGATCATATCAATGTATTTTGCATCAAGGTTTCTACTTTATGCAACTTTAATGGTTTGGTAATTAAAAGGTGATGTTCATTAAAAGCCCAACAAGATGTGAAAAGCTTCGAGTAAAAAAGCAAAGTATGGTTAAAGTGATTAAAACTGCTTCTTGTTGAATAACAACCATATGATAATTCATGTGCAGAGAAATCAACTGCTAGACTTGTACTGATTTTATAATTACATAAAACGAGTTACTTCAACAAGTCATCTAATGTTATATAAAAACACAAACAATTTACCATAATCCTGAAGAAAAACAGCTTGTCAAAATGCAGCTTTCTGACTAGTCTAAGGAGATGAAAGCTTGATAAACTGTACTTTAATTATATTATAAATTAACATGTAATACAACATTACAAATGTATTTCTTTACAACTTTATGATGTCATGCATTTATCTAAGGAATTGAAACCATTCAAGTAGCATTTGCTGTAATTAATATTCATCAGATGATAGCAGAAAACAAAATACAGCTTAAATGTAGATGAAGAAGTCAAATTTTTTTATTGGTTTAAATTCACTTTCAAAATTGCAGTTACTGTTGTGTTTCTGATTGCTGCTGATAAGTAGTTCTTATAGCAATACTGAAATTTCTTTACTGGCAAACATCACGCACTCTGGTATGTGTTGAAGAACAATGATTTTGACTGGATATGTTATTTAATATAAGTGGATGACTACTTTATAAAGGAGCTCACATTTTTTTTTTTTGGGGTATTGCAGGTATTATTAGTTTGTAAATAACAAATAATGCTCTTTCTTTGGAACTACACCTTTGAAATTAAAAAATACATAATCTAAAAACAAATTTTATAATGCAATAAATTTGTGTTTTTGAAGAATTATATGCTCTTTTAGGAAATCTGGAAGTTATTGTCTTGCATGTAAAGGTACTACAATGAAGTTTCTTAAGAACTGAAAACTTTATTATGCAGTGTTTCTTGAATTATACTATCAATCAAACTGTTGTTGAATTAATTAGGTCTAAAAAAAGTGATCTTATTTCTTTGTGTGCATGATAATGTGTAAATGTTCACATCTGTGTAAGTATTGTTTATCATAACTTTTGCTATGTTAATTTTAAAAACTTTAGGAACAATTCTATCAACATGAGCATAAAAACTCAAAATATATCAGTTTGTGATATATATATACACTTTAATATTACATTTCTTTGGTTTTAATGTATAGTCCTTTACATCTAAATTATTTTAGGTTATTAGTGGTGAGTTAAGGACTATACATCAAACCAAACAAATTGCTCTAATTCTAACACTATATGATGCTTTATTTATTTTGCTCTTCCAAGCCATGAATTTGGTGAAACTAGTCTACTGCAGCAGGAGAGATGAGTCAAACAGCAGATTAGATCATAGTGTCATATTTTCTTTACTGAAATTCATGTTTTGGTGAAGAAAAGCAATTAAAAAATAAATTAAAATTACATTGTTGATTGTATATCAAAGTATCAGAAAAAAATATATTTAATTCAGTTTCATGTTCAACACTGAATATTATATTGACATATTTACTATTTGTTAGATATACAAGACTGTTAAGCTTAATAGTTATTATTAAGTTTATTTAGTGAGCTAATATATAATGATTATTCATTTTTCATAACAAGTGTTAAAATTTAATTATTTTAAAAGTAATAGTTATGACAAGTTTGTTACGTAACTCTGTACGAGTCGTACGCTGTATATGTAGTTTGATTATTGTACTATCCTTTAGTAATATTGTTGACGTCATCTTACTTGAAGTTTCCAAGTTTTTCTAGTTATGTGTAATATTGTTGCTACTAGAGGGTAGATAGCTCTAGATTTTTCTTTTGGGTGTTATAAATATATGCATATACAGCAAGTTAAGGAAGACAGAAAAAAGTTAGTTAGTGAAAGAAAACGTGAAGTTAGCCGGCATGTGAGTAATTAGTCTTAACAGGTGATTTCTATAGTGTGTTTCACAGCGGTATTGTAACAAGAGAGACAGGGAAAATATTTTCAGTTGGTGTTGTAAATACAAGACTGTTTATTGTAAGAGTTGTTATTTAGTTTTCATAACAAAAGTGTTAAAAGTAATTATTTTAAAGGCAAAAGTTAAAACAAGTTTTTTATGTAACTCAGTAAGAGTTATACGTTGTGTGTGTAGTTCAACTGTTGTAGTATTGTTGAGGTAATTTTTCTCTAAACCTCTAAGTTTTACGTTATACAATGTGTGTGTAGTTCAACTGTTGTAGTATTGTTGGCGTCATTTTTGTCTTGAAACCTCTAAGTTTTTCTCACTATGTGAGAATTGTGACTTCACAGTTCCTGGCCTCAGTTGGGCAAGGTATATAGGTGACCAAGCAAGTGCAAGAAAAGTAAAGTTCAGTCAGAGAAAAGTCAGAAAACGTAAAGTTAGCTGGTGTGTAAGTGATTAGCCTTAACAGGTGATTTCTGTAGTGTGTTTCACAACTGTATTGTAAGAACAAAAATAGGAAAAATAATTTGTCATGTCAATTGGGTTCCAAAGTAACTGAATCAGCCTGTGTGGACTTTTGATGAAAAAGAGACAGATATTTAAAGCTCTGGATACAACTGTGGTAAAAAGAAAAAGTCAGAAAAAGTGAAATTAGACAACAAAATTGTTAGTTTAGCTGTAATGAGCAATATTTCAAAGTGAGTTTCACAGTTTAACAGAAATAAGGAGAATAACTTATCATGTCAAAGGGTGTTCTAAAGCAATTGAACCCATCTGTGTGGACTTAGATGAAAAGGAGACAATTATTTAAAGTACGAGATACAACTGTGGTAACCCACAGAGCAACATAAGTGAATCTATTGCAGATTATACAGTAAGAAACAGAAAAGACAAAAATAATTTGTCTTGTCAATCAGCCTGTGTGGACTTACGACAGGAAAATACCATTATTTAGAGTTTTAAAAACAACTGTGATGTCCTATAGTGTAAATAATTTTTTGTACATACATTTGACTTGTTTTGAATATATTATTTTAAAACAAGTGGATTGTGTGCTGTCCATTTATGTGTTTTAATTTAACACTAACAAGTCAAAGACACCTACTGTAAAAGACTCCCAGCCAATATACAAACCTTGACACAATTAAAATAACACAAAAATAAGTATTAACAAGTTCTGTAATGGGAAAGCAGTAAATATTTCTAAAGCATACTTTCTGTAATAAAGTGCTTCAAAATTAACAGGACATGTTTTCATTTATTGTTTCTCATGATAAATTAAATCATTAACACATGCAAGTTTAGATATTACACTATCAATCTGATCAAAAATAACTCCATGAAAATACAGAATGTGTTTCTATAACAGTAAAGAAAAAAAAGTTATTTAAAAAAATATAAAATTACAGTATCAGAAAAGAAAAATACTAACTTAGTAAATATTTAATTAACAGCTTGTTTTAAAGCTAAAGTTTATTTGAAACATTAAGGGATGTGTTTTGAAATGTTACCTTACAGTTTTAATATTTTGAGGGTTTAGTCGCCATTATGTAAGAAAGCATCAAGTACTGGCAAATGGGGTCATTGAATAAGTTCTTAGTTGTTTAATCACTTCAATAGGCTTGCACTCATGGTTTTTACAGGATATTGGAATGCAAAGATTCTATTTCAAAGCTAACTTTATACACATAGTTATGAAATTTCAATTCTTCATAGAATTTAACAACACAACACTATAAACTGATTCATCAGGATAAGAATATAATAAACATTTATCAAGGTGCTTCAATGTAGCATTAAAACTTTTTTCTAACCTGGTGGTGCCATGGAGTCATGCATCATGCTCTGTGCTCGTCTAACAGGCATCTGAAATGCATGGGAAGAAATTTCTTCTGACATTTCATCACTATCAAATTCTCTGCTCGGTAATTCCCCACAGGAACCTCCATACCATGAGGGGAAGTCTGGATGTAAATATGATTCATTTTTACTTATAAGAGGATGTGGCAATATGTTAGAGTGATGTGGATGAGCTGAGGAAATGTCAGCAGCACTAAAACTCTGAACTCTGGAAGAAAAATAATATTTAATTAAATATTTATTTAAATATATATGCACTTTTACAACAAAATATATATATATATATATATATACTGTTTGCCTGTAATACTACTTTATTCTCTTTTTGAATATCACACTCTTTAGATAAAAAAATATTATCAAGTAGATAGTATTTAAGTACAAATGATAAAAAAAAGTTTCTTTATACTTTCTGACTATTGAGACAGGGAAAGAGGTATTTACATTCAACAAAGACTCCATGCCATGCTATTAAGTCATACCAAAGTCAATATAGTGTGGTATTCTATAATCCTAGATTACATACATCAATGATCATTCAACAAACACAGAGTATTTCCATATCATGATGTTAAATCAGATCAAAGTCCTAGTGCGGTATCTCACAATACTAAATTATATTGATAAGTGATCATTCAACAAAGACAGAAAGGACTGTGCCCATACCATGCTGTTAAGTGAGACCAAAGTCCTAGATTACAGACATTAGTGATCATTCAACAAAGAAAGGATGGACTGTGCCCATACCATACTGCTAAGTCAGAGAAAAGTCAAAGTGTGTTGTACCACAATCCTAGACTAAATACCTTAGTGATCATTCAACAAAGGCAAAATTGATTGTATCCATAATATGATGTTAAGACAGACCAAAGGCAACAAAGACATGATGTATTGTTTCCATAACACGCTATTAAGTCAGACCAAAGTCCCAGTGCAGTATCTCACAATTATATATTAGATATATCAATAATCATTCTGATTTCACATATTCAAGGGCCAGTTCCAGTTTATACTAACTTGTAGAAAATCCTGTACCATCTCTCTACTTGTGTATTATCCACTACCAAAAAAGTGATAATTATAGAGAAGCATTATCAAATGAGTATAAACTTTAACTATGGAGTAAAGCAAATATTTTTAGTAACTATAGCCTGAGGCAAAGATTAATGATGGTTTATGACTATTCACATTGTGTTCACAAGGACGTTCACTGCAGAAAATTTGTACTCACAAAAAAATTCCCCAAAGTTTATCTGAATAAAGATAGTATATTTTCTTGTATTCATCTGCACCTATAAAATGTCATGGTTTCTTTATTTATCAATAAAGACTATTTTCTCCAGCTATGAAAAGTTTAGTCAAGTTAAGTTTTGTATGTATACATAGCTAAAGGGCAATTCAAAATTTACATGATTTTAGATTTACATATAGAACATGCGTATTTTCTGACAGCATGATTTAGCCAGTTCAAACAGAATGATTTCACCAAATTAAGGAATTTTTAGCTAATAGTGTCTCTGTACTCATTGAAAAACAAAATGTGACATTTATGATACATCACAGTCCCACTATTTTGGGCCAACCTGTTGATCTACATAATATGATGGTTTCTGTATCTAACAATAAATACTTTTATGAGAATATGAAACTCGTGATCCAATTATATTACTCAAAGAAGTTTAACAAATTTATTGTAATTCAAATTAGAACATTAGATGATTTGTTATTACCTTTTTTGTCAACAAGTCAGATGTATATTGAAACACATATGATGCATTTTCATGTAACTACAGTCATACTGTTACAGCTCTACTGATTAGTTCATGTTAAATACACTAAAATTATTAGTTTATGAGATGAAATAACAGGAGGTAATTTGATCAATGATAATTTCAGAACAAACTGAATACTACATATAACTTATTTAAGAAAAATCAATTTAATTACACCACTAGTTTTTAAAGAGATCTTAAATTTGACTAGATGAAAATGCCAAATACATACACACATATATATATATAGACATAAAAGCTACTGATAATATTTTAAGACACACAAATAAATTTTAAAATGGGCTTTCTATGTGACAAAATTACACTTATATCATTAAACACCTATTATTTAATAAACAAAATATGTAGCCCTCATTCTAACAATTTTCTTTTGAATGTCCTTTTGATTATACATAAATATTAATCCATGAGCCTAATCACTTCATCGGCTGAGTAAAAAAGCTTACTGGCAACCACCACTGTGGTACTCACAACAGTAATAAGCCTAACATGTAATGCAATTCTGTGGTGTACTTAATCTGACATGAAATCACCTTCATGTCTGAATTATTATACTTTAATTATTTTATTTTTTTTAAATGCCTAAAGATTTTGAAAATTTGAATTATGATCAATTTATTGAGTAGAGATTTATAAGAAGGAATTATCTCTTCAACATACACCTTCATGGTAATGAAATGTTGTTAACAGTAACCATATAGATAATGTTCATATTAACATAAAACATTGATTCTACAATAAATAAATTATTAACAGAACAAAGTGTGAAATTATTCACCACAGAGTGAATTTTAAAAACACACACCTGTTTGGACCTCCTGTTTCAAAGTGAGGATATGGTCTACCTCTTGGAATTGGCCTTGAGGCCAAGGGGCTTCCAGAAGAGATTGAACTGTTTTCACTCCAAATAGTTTTCTCGTCTACCCATTTTTGATTATCGATTGGCCATTGTTCTGTTGATTGTGTTATTATTTTGTCCTAATTATTTATTAACAGAAAAACAAAATCATTTGAGTTAATTGTAAAAAATTTATTCAAATATGAATGCTTGACTAATTCTATGTATTATTTATTGAAATAGTTCTTGTATTTCAGTTCATAGCTTTGTAAGAGTGGCACTACTTATTAATAATATCATTAATAAATATTAGTTTAGAAAATAAATAAAAATTTATATAATAGGAATATTTAAAGTACTTTTCAGCAGTACTTGTTTGAATTAATTAATTGTGAGAAAAAACAAGTTTCTTATTCTCCATTTTAATTCATTATTCAAGCAAACTAAATATAATTATGATTATGAGAAATTTTAACAATATTGAATACTTTTGGTTAACTGGTTATGTTGTTTATAATATGAAAGTCTTTAAAACAAACAGGAATAATATAGACATATACATAGATTCTTTCTACAAAACAATCTATCTCATTTCTTGTACCAATAAATATGTACGTTCAAAAAGATAAGAAAATATAGTTTCCTACAAAGTCAACATTAAAGATACATAGTAAATAATAACTGCAAGTTAGCTAAGTAAATATGCATCAGAAAATCTCATCTCCTCAATGATCACTAAATCTTAAAGATAAGAAGCACAAGAGAACTACATACAAAAACAAAAAGGATTTATAACGACTTGCAGTAGCATAAATAAAACAGGATGAACTTCAGCATGGTCTAAAATATTTGATAAGCATGTCTTTTTCACATAAAGAAAAGTGAAATGGTAACTTTGCAAAAAAATTCTTCCTTAGGTCAGCAACAAACCACATGAGAAATGAAAATGCTAGGACAAATCAAACCAAATTGTGAAAAAGGAAGTCATTTGTAATAGCTACAAACAATAATTTGTCTAAATAGATATGATGGCCATTATTATAATATTATTATTATTATTATTATATGTGTGAAAATGTGAGTTGAAATAACTAAATCATAACAATATGCAAGATGTTTTAATAAACTCATTATTCTCACACATTAAACATTTAAATGTAAGATTAGTAGTGCTCATAACTAATACTTTTTATGATATTTTGTTATTTATTGAGTTAATAGATTCAAAGAAAAATTGATTTATAGTGAAGCCTACTTTTGTATATAATTCACTGCTATGTTTTTGTGCAGGTTCATTTATCACTCTCAAATCTGGGGTTGTCTGAGCTCGGAAAACTGGTGGTCCTGGAAATAGAGTTTAATAATGGTATATATATATATATATATGTATATATACAATAAAGAAGTATTACTTAAATATACAAGAAAAATAAACTTAATGCACTGCTAATTTTAAATTAAGATCATGATATCACATATTATTGTATAAAGTGAAAAAAACAACACCTTGTTAAGAATTACTTCAGGAAAAAATTGTAGGACATACCAAGGCCTAGAGCAGTCTTTTTTCTAATTTTTGTGTTTATGTGTTTGTTTGTTTTGTGAACTGAATGTGTCCCAAAGATTTTTCTTTTTGTCACACTGTATTCATTTTTGTCCAAAACATATCAATACTCTGAAAAACTAACTGCCTCTTCCCAAAAATAAATTTAATTTCTTGATTTGTTCATACAAGCACCTTTATCTGATTTTTTTTTTTTATGAAATTGAAATCAAAATGGATTTTTTGGCCTTTTGTAGATTCCAAAGCATATCTGCTGCAGTAACATTATACATATCTTAACAGTATGAAGTTCATAAAATATATTATATTAGCAAATACACAAAATAAAATTAATTTAACAGTCTGGATATTTTTTACTGGACTTGAGATTATTCTGACAATTGACACAGGATTTCATAGTTACTTCTAGGATTGATATTCATGATTTCAGAGATATTCTTGTATACCGCTGTTCATTATTTCATACATAATTTACTTACTGCTCTTCATTACTTAGCAGATATTTCAAGTGCTTTTATTCAGTGTTTTGTATTTCATCTACTGCTATTCATTGTTTCTCAGATATTTCATATAATGGCATTTATTAATTCATAGAGTATTTCACATACTGCTGAACTGTTCATCATTACATAGATATTTTCCATGCTGATCTTTGTGTATTCTCAGTTTAGTTTCATAAAACTGAACAGGATTTCATATATTATTTCATTTATCATCCTTATTTTACACATATAATTTTTACACAGTGTCTATGATTTTACTCGTATTTCATGTTTTTCTGTTTCAAAACATACAGTAATCATTCACTTTTTATTTAAAATATTAAAACTTAACTGTACAGAATTTGGTATTTCATTTCTTCTGTAAAAAAAGTCTGTGGGCAGTCTAAATATTACAATTTAACATGTAGCATCATGTTATCACTAAAAAACATCATATGTAGAATGAGCTTAACAAATTTTTTCATTATATTTATTACCCTCTCTGCAAATCCAAACACAATTGATTTTTATTTTAATGATGCTCTACTACAATTATGAATAGATGAACTGTCATGCTGTGTATATGCATAACACTATGAAATGACTTTTACTTTTACAAAGTATGTATAATATAATTTAAAATAAAAAGGACTACAAAGAAATGACATGCACATAACAAGCTAAGACTTAACACTATATATATATTTTCAAACACATAACATTACCATCATTACCGAGTTAATTTTTAATGCATGGATCATGTGGTTTTGATTACAATAATATATCCACACTGCAATTAGTTCACAATATATACATAATATTTGTTAACTAATTCTTAATACATGAACTTGATTAAAACAATGTATTCACATAGCACTCTGTTCTTAATTCAGTTCAAAAACAGCAAATAGATTCATTACTAAAATATTTTTGCTAAGATAATATAATAAGTTTGAAATTATATTTCACATATTATTTTATAACGCTAAAGATCATAGGAATTGTTAACCAGAACAACTTCATGTATATGAGATTCTATGTACCTATCATGTGCTCAGTTCCAATAGTATCATAGTTTGGTGGAAGAGGATGTCCAGGTACAAACTTGTTGCTTCGATTGTCTGACCATAAAAAGTCTTTCTCAGTGCCAGCCTGCATTTTAAGCAAAAATGTCAGAAAAAAAAGTAAAATTCATAAATAACTGGTTCTAAACAAAACATATTTACTGATATTGGTTAAAAATGCAAAGGTATATATATATATATAGTCTCTGGTGCCAAGAACATCTCAGTGAACATATATTTACTAAATTTACGATGAAGCATATTGATTCTAGTCAAATAGTTCTAATTTAATGAAATATTTTGTGATTTTATGCAAAATATTATGCTCTTGGTGTTTTGTTTCTCTTATTTTGAGATTGACAATCACAATCTTCAAAAGAAATACAACTTGATTAAATTAGATAATTCAATTATTAAAAATATACCAAATCCAGCTTAGTATTATGTTGAAGTTCTGCATTATGATTATAAAAACAAGTACTTTATCAACCTAGGTTTACACAGATATAGAAATGACCTCATACTCATTGATAATTGAACACAATAACCTACTAAACATTGAATTTCACATACTCAGTCACATGTACAGTCTAATCCTATATTTTTTTCATATTTTACTATCATAAGACTATATATACACATAAAACTTTTTTCACTGTAATTTTAGAATAAATAATATCCTGTACAGTCATTATTTTAAATTCTAACTAACTTTGGATCTTTAACAAGCTTTGAACTCACATACTCAATTACATATATAATCTAATGCCACAGGGTAGTCAAATAATTATAATAATGACCTCAACTGTGTATAGTATCATGTTTGGGTTCAATAAGAGCATCAAAAAATTAAATATATTAGTCAATCTTGTAACAAAGGATTATAATAATCATTAAATATTCTAAAGTGTGTCACATACAGAAATTTAAAAAGAAAATAATATGATATGTTTCTGTTCAACTCTGTTATCCCTACTTATTTATCTTACATGTAAATTGCGAAGTAAAATGAACAAGTTATACAGTAATGACACTTTTCTATTCTGTCAGGTTTAAGCTCTTCTTTTATAGTTCTGTAGATGATGTTGTGAGGCATTTTTGGTTATCTTCAAAACCATACATGAACTAATACTGTGGCTTCAAAGTTTTGATTTCTGGAAGTCTTATCTGTATTAAGATATTTGGCTAATTTTCCTCTCTGCCTCTTGATGGGGATCAAAGTCACATCAGAAATAATTATTTTTCTTTTGCTGATTTTGTATATCAAAATTTTCTTCTTCCTTTTTTTTTTTGCAAGAAATTAATCTACCTTACTATAATATTTCCACACTCTTGCTCTTCTTTATCACTGCTTTCTCAACATGGACACAACTTTTTAGACATATATATAAGTTAACCACATCACCACACTGGAACCTAAAGTTACAACAACAAAAACGTAACTGATTGACTTCAGATTTTCAGGGGGACAACTCTTGACCACTGTCTGTGATAATTGTTATTTTGTAACAGGATATCTATGGAGAAGGTCAAAGTACACTAAACCAATCATGAGAGATTCTGGAAGTTTCATATTTCACTTTTCATCAGAAGTGGTAAACTTTACACCAGTGTTTTCCACCTCTCATCTACATATGTGGTTAGATGGCTGAAAATTGGATGGTTGTATCTTTATCCTTCCATCCAAAGAAAGGTGGACAGATTTTAAACTCTACAAACATCATTGATTCAATCAGATTCTTGATCACTGTTGGTTTATTTGATGTCTTTATACAAATTTCATTAATATGTTTAACTATTAATTTTTCAGCTTCTTGGTTAAGCATATGGGATATACCACTTTTTAATATGATCCATTACAATAATGATCTGTTCACTTCCAATCCATTGACTAAGGCCATGATTATGATAACAAAATTTCTCTGTCAAGTAGTGCTTCAATACTGTTTTATAATAGTTTACATTGCATCTTTGTAAGCACCAATCACGAAGGTGGGACATATCCTCCTGCATCTTTAGCAGTGTGGGATGATATATATATGACCTCCCACTTTGAAGATTTCTTAAACATATATATATATATATATACCACAAGCTCTGTTGTTCTGTTTCACTGTGTATGAGTGTATTGGACTGGACCACAATGGACCCCTCCCCATTTCAGGAATTAAACCAATTGAAAACTGTAAATGTGACCTGCTCAATATTGCTTTACAATTTCCAAGACTCTGACACAAATTGCATCTATGAGAGCATAATAAATGCACTTCAATGAACACTACATGTACCCTTTGACAAAGTGTACAAGCAATGCATACTTTTCAAAAGATATTTCATTATTTTAAACCCATAAGTTGCCAGGTCTTAAAATACATATAATGGGAACTGTGTAATCAACTTCGGTAAATGTGTACAAATTTGTAAAGAAAACAGATAAAATTTAGAACTTAAGAAATACTGAAAACACCAATTATCCTTATTTTTGAAAAGTGAAAAAACACCCTTGTGTATTGTTACGCCTCCGTTCATTAATTGATTTTCTGTAACTTCGTTCCGACGAAATTTTAGCGACACAAGTCCTTACTTAATAAAACTGGTTTATTCTTTCTGAATATAACTTTACCGATACACTTATTTTCAACAGTCATGCTAAAACAAACGTTAACTTCAACAATACTCTCTGACTGCAGATCAATTACTCACTGTCTACACACACATTATCCCATCACGTTGTGACCATCTTATATATACCAGACTACCCTATATCTAGTAAATGCTAGGGCATTCACGAAGGTTCGAAAGAACGGGTGGCGTGACACTAGTCACGTGACCTCGCTAACGCAACACTGCCCCTCCTTAGTATTGTTCATCCCAAACAATAGCCACTTACAATAAACCAATAACAATTAACTTAATTAAAATGTACAGAATCACAAACACAAAATTACAATTCAACAAAGTCTCTTAATTTTTCGGGACGTATCTTCTTCCGTACTGGTCTCTGTCTCATTGGCTTCTGCTTCATCTGGGGTTCATCCGCTTCATCAGTAAATGTCCCATCATCGGTAACAGTCACATCAGTGGTAGTAACTTCACCAAGAGCTTTACCGTTTCCCTTCTCAAAACTGAGTCGAGTTTCTTCTTCGACGGTGGCTTCTTCAGGTGGCACGTCTTCAGTAGCGTTATTTGTCCTGTTTTCCACTTCGTCCCAACTGAAATGTCCTGGACCGTGATAACGCCAAAGCCTGTTGGCATGCACCACTTTTGGCTTACCTCGCCGACCACATTTTATTCGGAAAGTCACGTCTGAGAGACGATCCACTATGTCATATGGGCCTTCCCATGGAGAAGACAACTTAGAAGACTTCCCTTTGGTCTTCCTGGGATTTATACAACCATACCTTGTCTCCTGGTACAAAGCTGACTTCAGTAGATCTCTTATCATAACATAGCTTCATGGGATCAGCAGATGTTTTCAAGTTTGAACGTACTTGATGGTGAATATCATTCATCATTTCCTATAACA